CGGACTACAGCCTCTTCTGGCTGCTCGACCTGGTCCGGCACCAGCTGCGGGGGGAGATTGTCGCCAGGGGTGAGCCGCACCCACCGTGCCGGAGCAGCACCCTTGGGTGCTTTGCTGGCTGGGGGCCGGGGCTTTGGGGCGGCGGGTGCCCTGTTTCCTGGGACTGAGCCGCTCGCCCTGCAGCGCCAGCGGTGCTGGGTGTCAGCATCAACGGGACAGGCTACACCAGCGAGATCTTCCGGGACTTGGTCTCTGCCTTCGATGCGCTGCAGCGGGGCAACATCTCGGTGCTCTCCCAGCGCTGCCTCCTCCAGCCCGTGGAGCCCAACTACAGCACCTACCTCAGCATGGGTGACCGGGGGTGCTGCACCCTCAGCGTGCTAGGTGGGTGGGGGGTGCAGGAGAGGGTCGCCCCTGCGTGACTTGTCCTCTTCCCACCAGGACTTCTGTACGGCATCTGCCTCTTCATCGCCGTCTTCGGCAGCCACGTGGCACGCCTGCGCCGGGTGGTGTGTGCTGCCTACTACCCGTGCCGTGAGCAGGTGAGAAGCCCCCCTCCCCCCCATCTCCCCATGCCCACGCGGCAGCCGCCTGCCCTCACCTCATCCCTTCCATGCCAGGAGCGCACGTCCTTCCTCCACGGCACCATCCTGGCACGGCGGGCAGGGCTGGCACGTGCCCTGCGCCAAGCTGCCATGCAGCGCACGGCTGATGCCGGGCAAGGCAACCTGCTCCTCTTCCTCACCTCCAGGTAAGCTCCCCCAGGGGATGTATCCACGGGGTTGGAGCCATCTTGACCCCATAAGCACCTTGCTGGGCATTGCAAAAGGGCAATGCCATCCCCAGAGGTCCGCAGCAAGGGCTTGCCGCGGACCCCCGGGGGTGGCATTGCCCCATGGAGCATCAGCTCCCTGCCTGCAGGCTGCCTGCCTTTGCTCGGCTGGCTCGGCTCTTGGGCATCCAGCAGAAACGCTGCTTGGCCTGTGGGATGGCGGAGCAGCCGGACTTCGTTGCGTGCATCACACCTGGCTGCAAAGGTAGGAGCCCCGCCTAGACTGGGGACACCCCCCTCCAAAATCTCCCACCCCTCTCACCGCCCTGTTTTCCCCAGGGCTGTATTGCAGCGAGTGCTACCAAACCCTGAGCAACGTCTGCTCCGTCTGCATGAGCCCCCTGAGCTACCGGGACACCAGGGACGAGGAGATGTGAGCAGGGGGTTGCAGGGAGCCCACCGGAGCCCAGGGGGGCTGCGG